CGACGCCGCCTGCCGCGGGCAACGTGGCTAAGAAGACGCCGCTCCCCACGGGCAAGAAGACGGACGGCGCGGCTGGGAAGGACAAGCAGCGCAAGTGGGCGAAGCCGAGGTGGGAGATGCAGACCACACGCAACTTGGCGAGCGGGGTTGAACCTCCCACCGATGAGGCGTCGGGCGCGCGCGGCGATTCCCAGCAGCCCCGCTGGGGTCGCAGTTTGCGCGCCCGCCGCCTTTCAGGCGACTGTTCATCGTTGCTCCGCCCCCCAGGTGCAGTTCCGCAGCGGCAGGGTCGGCGTCCCTGGCAGCAACGTCAGCCTGAAGTACATCGCGGGCGATGAGGCCGACAAGGCCAGATTCTCACCGACGCCCTTCTCGACGCCCTCCTCCGCGCTCTCTTCATTTTCGCCCCTGCCTCGACGCCCCCTCCGCCCCCTGCTGCCTCGTTGCGCCCGATCGCTCCGAGGCCAGGGCCATCGCGGAGGCGGAGGAGCTGGTCAAGAAGGAGCTCGCCGCCAGGGCGCGCGGCGAGTAATTCGCGCTACGACTCTTCAACTCTCCAGGCCAACGGGGCGGCCTCGGGATAACAAAAAGGTCGTGGCGGATATGCCGCCTCGTGGCGGATATGCCGCCTTGTAGCGCAGCCTTCTCGCCTTCCAACTCGTGGCGGACATGCCGCCCCCGCCCCACCCCTTTGCGCTCCTCCGCCCTTCAGGCGGACATGCCGCCGCCCCCCTCCCCTACTCGGCCCACTCCGCGCCCCCGCGCCACGTCCCTGCGCCCCCCTCTCCGCTGTCAGGCACTGGATCCCACGCCAACTAACGTCGGGGAGACGCCCACTGCTCGAACGGCGAAGGCGTTCACCCAGAATGGCATGGGCGCGCGCGAAGGCACCGACGTTGCCACCGCCCGTTCAACGACGAAAACAAGTGAACCAAGACCTGCACATTCAAAGGGACGCCAGTTCACTTATATTTCTGGTTCCCAATGCCACCCTCACTCTGCCCCCTCCCCCGAGACCCCGTCGCAAGAACCAGCGGGGCCCTTCTGAGAGGCCCCCGAGGGCTCGAGGAGCTCCAAGACTTCAATGGGTCCATGGGCAACCCCCTCCCCCTCCTCCCGAAGTCTCGCTTCCGCGTCCGATTCCATTTCGGTTCAAGCCCGCGGCCCGCGGGTGCCCGCGAGCCCGCGCGGGGTCGGCCCCCCCCTTTCGCGCCGACGCGTGGGCTGGGGCCCGCGCGCCGAGGCTGCGCCGCAGCCACCGCGTCGCGCTCGGCGCCTCGCACTGCGGCCGCGGCCATGGCAGACAGCGACAGCGCGTTCGACGCGTTGGAGGCAGCTGCATCGCCAAAACAAGTGGCCCCGCGTGCGGTAGCCAGGGACGCGCGCATCGCGCGCGAAACTGGCTGGCCGCTCTCGGTCGAACTGTTTTGGCGATTCGGCGCAGGAGATGTTCGGGCCAGCGATGCAGTTGCTCTCCGACCTTGCGGGCGTGGACAACAACGCAGGGGATCGGTCTTCCTCCGCCAGCGGCAGTCGGCCAGCCAGCGCGCCCACGTTGGCGGCGCAGCCAGCGCGATCGCGCAGCCCGCGCCACCCGCGGGCACCGTCGACGCCGCCGCGCAGGCGGGGGCCGACGTCACCGCCGCGGGACCCGCGGCAGCGGCCTTTCCGCGCCACCCCGCCCTCGGCTCTCGTGAAGGAGCTCGCGTCGCACATGCGGGGCGCGACGCCTGTGGTGGAAGAGCCCCCCGAGGCGGTGGAGGCGCATCCCAGCGCGGTGGAGGCGTTCAGGACGCAGCTGCGAGCCTGGCTGAGCGACCCCGTTGGGAATCCCATCGACTGGCGGTCGGAGAACGTGCTCGCCGTGCTCAAGGAGTACCAGATGAAGTACGACTACAAGAAGTTCCGCGACCGCGGCCCGCCTGGCCCCGCCATGGGCGGGCCGCAGACGTGGCAGGGCCAGGCGTGGCGCGCCAATGCGAAGCGCTGGGGGAACCGAGGTGGCGCAAAGCGCGAGATGTACGCGAAGCTGCACGGCAACAAGGCAGCGCCGCGGGTGCGCGAGGCGCACGTCCCCAAGCCTCAGCTGATGCATCGGGAGCCCAAGGCGCCGAACTTGCCCAAGACGATGCCTCAGCAGGCGCCGTGGAGGACTGGCAATATGAACCCTCCAGTTCCGCCTCCGCCGCCGAAGACCATGGGGCCGCCGCCGCCGAAGACCAGGCAGCCGCCAGCAGGGAAGCCCAGCATGGTGCAGCCGAGGGCAGGGCGTCGGCTGCAGCCGACAAGCAAGATGGCACCACCGCCAGCGAAGCCGCGCCCGCCCGCCCGCCGAGATGTCTTCTTGTAGGGTGATCGCGTGGACCTGCAAGCGGGCTGGGGTGCATAGCTTCCGTAATTCGAGCGCGGATAGTTGCAGCTATCCGCGCTGACGCGTCATGACGCGCCGCCTCTCCCCGCCTCGTCTCATCTCATCTCTCCTCCCCTCTCTTCGTTGCCGATCTATCTCATTGGCGGACGCGCCGCCTCCCCCCGCCTGGCGGACAACCGCCGTTCAGATACGAGCATCGGCGCATCGGGTTTGTTCTATGCGGTTGGAAAAAAACACCAGTCCTTCCCTGAGCCACCCATTGGCGGCTAAACCGCCCTGAAGCCTCCATTGGCGGCCACGCCGCCCATTGGCGGCTAAACCGCCCATTGGCGGCCACGCCGCCCTGAGCCCTCCATTGGCGGCTAAACCGCCGCCGCCGCCTGCTGGCACCCCGAAATGTGCGATGCCACCGCGCCTCTTACACATGTATGTTTTTGTTGTTGGGACGCTGTATCGGCTCGAATCTAGGCGCGCACAGGCTCGCGCCCCACGCCGCCCCTGCGCTAGCCGCGCACTTCTCGCCCTGCCGCCATGGCAGGCCAGCAGGGCGAGAAGACCGTCATGTTCGGCTTCAAGTGCCCACAGAGCAGCAGCTGCAAAAGGGGCGGCAAGTGGTTCCAGGGAGAGACAGTGGAGGCGGCCAGGAACAAGCTGGTGAACCACCTTCGCGTGTCGCCGTACCACGACTTGAGCGAGGACGAAGCGGAGGTAGCTGCTGTCGCACTCGAGCCCGACTCGTGGGAAGTCGACCTCGCGGAGTGGCGCCAATGGGAGGAGGAGAAGGCCAACTGGGGCTCCGCCAAAAGGCGCAAGGGGGCGCCGAAGGTCGAGCTGGCGCCAATCCCTCCACAATCCCGCGTGGAGCGCTCGCACCAGCTGAAGGACGCGCTCTCGGAGGGCAGCGGATCGTCAGGCGCAGCTTCGTCAGCCACGGCGGGCATGAGGATGTCCACGGCGTTGGCCAGCCAGATGTCGCCCGATAGCATCGTGGTGCTCAACGGCACCCAGTGCCAGGCTGTGCTCGACTCGTTGCGCCGCGCGCGTACTGCGACGCAGATGTGCGCCCAGATAGCGGAGCGCGCGGTGAACGCTTTCCGCCAAGAGGAGCAATGCATCGCCGAGTGCGAGGACGTGCTCGCGAGCTGGCTGGTGCGCAACGCGACCTCGTAGGTGCAGGTGCACGGCTGGCAGCACTGATGTCGCCTCAGCATCAGTAGCCTCATTCGCGCAGGCGGCGCGACGCGTCGGCCCTACACGCCCCCCTCCCACTCCTCCAACGCAATTTCAATCCACACCCCTGTGTCAGAACAAATTAGGACACCCCCACACACTCCATCCGCACTCAATTCGTGAAGGCCGCCACGCCGAGGTGAATTTTGGCCACGCAGGCGGCCGAGTAGCCGTCCCCCAATGCAAGGCGATATGGGGGCGAGTGGACGAGCGGAGCGGGAGGAAGGTGAGGGAACTTCGGCGGATAAGACAGGTGGGCGGTTGGATGGGATTTGGCAAAAGGGCTGGGTGGAGAAAACTGCATCCGCATAAGAATGAGTGCGGCTATTTTCTGGATGTGCTGCATCGCCATGTCCGCCCACCCCCCCATCGCCTTGCATATGATGACGCTCAGGCAGCGCGCCCCGATTGCGCGCGCTCGCCCGTCTCTTCGCTGCCGCTCAGGCAGCGCGCCTCGCTTCCGCGCTCGCCCGTCTTTTCGCTGCCGCTCAGGCAGCGGTTTGAAGCACGCGGCGCCGTCCGCGGTCGGTAGCGCAGGGCGCCGCTCCGCCCCTGCTGCTCCGCTTAACTAACTCGGCGGACGTGCCGCTACGCCGCCGCCATGCACTGGCAAAAAAAAGTTGGCTGTTATCATATGTTAGCAGATGTTATCACGCGCCTGATAACACCTGATAACACCTGATAACACCTGATAACATGTTATCAGGTGTTATCATGTGTTAGCATGGTGTTATCACACGCCTGATAACATATGATAACATATGATAACATGATGTCAATTTTGTGTGGTTGTCATGTTGCGCGCAATTCATTTCAGTATCCGTATCACCTCGTGCGTCCGCCACGCTTCGAGCGGCTAGTCCGCTGGCGGCCAATCCGCCTCCCTCGCCGCGCCCCTGCACCCTCTCAAGCGGCGAGTCCGCTGGCGGATATGCCGCCCCCTTCATACCTCACTCCACCCCTCCCTCCACCTTTGAAGCGGCTATTCCGCTGGCGGCTATCCCGCCTCACTTACCGCGCGTTTTCTTCGTCATCGCTTCGCGTCCAGCTCATCTTGGCATCAGGGCCGCGCGCGACGCGCGGCTTCTCGCGTGCCAAGGCGGTCACGCCGCCATGGCGGGGACGCCGCCCGCTGAAGATCACCAGCAGCATTCTCTGGCAGTGATGTTCGGAGCAGCCAGGCCGAAAAACAAGGGAGTGATGACCAAGGCGCCCGCAGCGAAGCCCCGTGGGAAAGCTAAGCTATCGGGGACGCAGATGACACTGACTGGACAGCTTGTGCCGCCGCTCGCATTGACCGACGCAGGGCCGCCGAAGGCACGCGGGAAAAGCAAAGGCAAGGGCAAAGGTAAGCACCCCGCAGCGTTGAGGACGGCTCGCAAAGCTGCGTCAGCCGCAGCTCCCGCCGAAGAACTGCCTCCTCAGGGCGCAGCGGCTTTGCCACCAGAGCCGGACGACGCAGCGTCAGAGGCGGCATCGGGCTCCGAGGAGCGCGGCGACGAGATTGGTTCCGAGCTCGGCGTCAAACAGGATGAGCTTGAGAGTGCCAAGCGTGAGCTTGAGGAGGAAGAGGCTCCACCGCAGGGCGCGGTAGCCAAGGTTGAGAATGAGGAGCGCTCGCCCGAGGCGGCAGCGCCGCAGGCGGAGGAGGAGGAGGCAGCTCAGGACGATCCGCCAGCAGGCGCTCCCCAGGTAGGGGAGTTCGTGGATGTGCATGGCATCGAGGATAGCATCGTGCGTTGCAACCGCTGCTGTCGCACGGCAAAGGAGTGCAACTACAGGATCAGGGCGAAGGGCCAGTCGACTTACCAGTGCGACGCGTGCAACACGAACGGGGTGCGCCTTTCTCGGAGGTTCGGACAGTGGCCGCCAAAGTGTTTCGCCAAAATGAAGAGTGAGTTCAAGCAGCAGTTCTACAAGGATCTGGCAGAAGATCCTGGGCTGTCGAACCTCGATCGCATTGAAGCCTTCGTGGTCAGCTCAATCACTGTCCAACGGATGGAGGAGGAGCGCGTCCGCAAGGGTGGCAAGTACCTTCCGCTGAGGAAGTGGGCGCACGACGGCTTCGACGCGAAAAAGATTGAAGATAATGTGCAGGATAAGAGGTGGAACCCTGATCTCGGGGAGTGGACGTACAGGCCGCAATTGGAGGCGGCCTGGAGCGAGACAGTGGAGGCCGCAGTGCGCAACGAGCTGTACACCGATAAGAGGACGCAGGCGAAGCAGAGCGACCCGCGGGCAGCGGCCTCGACGGGCGTCGCAGAGCACGGCGGCGACAAGGGCGACAGAAGCGACGAGAGCGACATGTCCAGATCCAGGCGGCGCCGCAGGCGCAGGTCTGACAGCCGCAGGAGGAGGAGGCGCAGCATGAGCAGGCGCGACAGCAGGGGCAGGCGCGACAGCAGGAGCAGACGCCGCGACAGACGTCGCGACACCAACCGCAGCAGGAGCCGCTCGCGCGGCGACCGCGACAGGAGCAAGAGCCGCCGCAAGGGCAGGAGCAAGAGCCGCGGCAAGAGCAAGGACAGGAGCAAGAGCAGGCCGTTTGGGGGTTCAACGCAGGGGTGTCGCCTGGGCTTCGCATTCGTTTTCGGTTTCCGTTCAACTCTTCAGGTTCGGATCGGGTTATTGATTTCGCTCGGCTCGAAGTGTTGTCATTTTCGGACAACCCCGAAGGCTCCGCAGGGATAAGGACGCTGAGAAGGAGCGGAGGCGACAGGAAGCGAGGGAGAAGGCCGAGCAGGCCAAGAAGGAGACGCAGGAGAAAAACCTGGCGCTGAAGTGGATCGGCACCGCAACGAGGCTCGAGACAGAGCTGGACGGGTACCTCGAGCATGAGAAGGCGGACAAGGTGCCGTCATGGGCTGTGAAGAACGCGAAGGCGGCGAGGAAGTCTGTGGCAGTCATGAAGGCGGTGGCGCAGAAGCGCGTGCACAGCGGCGTGGCGTTGACGATCACGCAGGACGAGGCCATCAGCATCCAGAAGGATGCGAGCTCGGCGGCGAGGGCCATCGCGGGGATGCTCAAGGAGGCGCAGAAGCACAGCACCTGAGCGCCCCATGGTGGCCCAGTACATCATGAAGTACGGCCTGAAAAAGGTGGAGAAGGACCCGAATAAGCCGCGGCCGCTGGGCCGCTCGTGAGCAGGGGCGGCAGTTGGGCCGCTCCTGACGAGGTGTGTGATTTCGTACAATTGTTATTGTTGGTGAAACAACATTTCCACCGCCACCCCACTCGTTACCACCGCAGCCCTTCGTTTGGCGGGGATGCCGCCTTTCCACTCTCGCAAGCCCTTGGCGGACATGCCGCCTTGCCTTCATTTGGCGGAGATGCCGCCTTTGCTGCTCATCGCGCTCCGATGCCTCACTTGGCGAGGCGAAGCGCTTGCGTAACTCCCTCCTGCTCGAGCGCGTCCTGCCCGAGACCCTACCGCGCGAGCTGTGGCTCGCGAAGGCCAGCGACACCGTTGGGAATCCCATCGATTGGCGGTCGGAGACGAAGCAGAGGCGAAGCAGCTCCTTGGCAGGGGCGGCAGTTGGGCCGCTCATGACGAGGTGTGTGATTTCGTACAATTGTTATTGTTGTTGAAAAAAAACATTTCTTCGTTGCCATCGCCACCCCACTCGTTACCACCGCAGCCCTTCGTTTGGCGGGGATGCCGCCTTTCCACTCTCGCAAGCCCTTGGCGGACATGCCGCCTTGCCTTCATTTGGCGGAGATGCCGCCTTTGCTGCCCACCGCGCTCGCACCGTTCTCTCGCGTTTCCCAATGACATGATCTGCCACCGTCCCACCCCTCATCCGTAGTCTTTGTGGCTCAAGTGGAGCCGCTCGAGGTCGTGCCCCTTCGCGGTCTTGCGCCGCCATGGCGAGCATCGCGGACAAGTACGACGTCGATGACTTCGAGCTCATCACGGGTGGCAGTGCGTGGAGCTGGGCGACCATCGTGGTGCGCTTCATCGAGTGGCGCAATCGTTGCCGCCATGCACGCGCCGTTGGCATCAAGGGCCAGATGCTCATCGACAAGGCGCGGCGCATGATGGAGGAGGCGCGCCGCACCGAGGAGCGCGGCAAGATGCTGTGCCAGATGTCGAAGCAGACGGTGCAGGACATCCCAGGCGGCATTCGGTTCTTCTGCCGCCAGCCGCACCAGGAGAGCTGAGCGGCGATCGGCTGGGCCGATAGAGGAGGATAAGGAGGAAGAGGAGGCAGGATGAGGAGAGGAGGAGGAGGTGGATGAGGAGTTGGAGGCAGCACGCGCACCCGCACTAAGAGCCGCCAGCCGCCGCCGCGCCCGTCCCGCGCTGCGCCCGCCCCGAGCTCGAGCCGCCAGCCGCGCCCGTCTCCGAGCGCTGGCGGCTTGGAACCCGAGCTTGAAACTCAAGCTCGAAATTGCGTGCGAGAAAAAGAAATCTCCCTTGCAAGTTCCGTTGCTACGCTCACTTCGCGCCTCCGCAATCTCCCCCACCCACCCCCTCCCCCCTCCCCCCTCCCCCCATGCCCCCTCGCCCCCACGCTCTTCGGCGGCTACGCCGCCCCTCCCGACCCTTCAGGCGGCTACACCGCCATGCCCTTCGGCGGCTACTCCGCCCCGCGATCCATTCCCGCCTCCACTTCCGTCTCTCTGGCTGCAATTCGTTTTTCTCAACCGCGCTGGGCCTCGCGCTGCCCCCCGCCCCCGCCCCTCCCGCGCGCGGGCGTCGGCGCAATGGGGAAACGCGCCCTGCAGGTGGACAAGCAGGTGGAGCAGCGGGCTCGACTGCAACAGTGTCTGGCCCTGCGCGGCGTGTCCGCGGCTTTGCTCGAGCGAATCGCGACTGCGCTTGGCCATGGCGACGACGCGGGCGATGCTATAGACGTGAGCGCTCGGGCCATGCAGCGATCGCAGACGGCATCCGTGGCCGATCTCATCAGCGCAGTGCGGCTGCAGCCCAAGATCGGCACGCCTTTCCGATGGAGCGTGGCGCTGCCGCATCGGCTGATGCCGAGGCTCCTGTCGGACTGCCCTCTCTGGAGTTCAATGTTTTGGGAAGCGATGCGCCGTTTCCCTGTGTCGCGCGATCGGCCGTGGAGGCTTTTGCTGTACTACGACGACATTGGCGTGGGCAACGCCTTGAAGATAGATAATCGTCGGAATCAGCTCGCGGTGTATGCGAGTTTCCTCGAGTTCGGATCCTTCTTGCAGAAGGAGGTTGCGTGGCTGCCGATCGGCACCTTGCGCGTCGTCGTGAAGAAGAGCATCGGCGGCTCGGCCGTGGCGCGGGCATTGCTTCGCGCGCTGTTCCTGGGCCCAGAGAGTCTGTCGGAGCACGGTGCGCCAATCGGCGGCGTGCACTTTTTCGCCAAGTTCCACCGCTTGATTGCAGACGAGGCGGCTGGAAAAGAGACATTCTGCACCAAGGGCGCTGCAGGTCTGAGACCGTGCTTGCAATGCAAGAACGTTGTGCTGGATCAGGCGGAATGTCTTGCAGACTACGACGACGATGATTACCTCGTGCCTCTCTGGTGCGCTGACTCGTCGCGCTTTGACCCGCTGTCGTCAGACGAGTTTTTGCAGCAATATGATGATTTGGCGTCGCTGCGGGACACGACAACCAGAGCGAACATCGAGAGACTGGAGCCAGGGAGGAAAACATTTCCATCGATCCCCTTCTGATGTCCCCCCCTTCCTTCCCTTCTGATGTTCCGGCCCCCGAAGGAGACGGCAATGGGCATCACTCTGGATGACCGTTCTCTGGTGGCGTGCCAGGCGTTGCGGACGGTGGCGCCGCCGAGCACATACGTGAGGGACCCCATGCATACCATGCTGGCCAGCGGCGGGACCTTGCAGGTCGAAATCTTTGCGCTCCTCAAGGCGGTGAGGGATGTCATCCCCGACGCGTGGGGAACGTGGCGGGATCGCTGCTCGGCGTGGCGGACTGGCAGACGCGGCAGGAAACCGCCAGCGTTTCTGTTCAGCGTGGCTCGGAAGAAAGCGACCTGCAAGGCGTCGCACTTCGTGGGCAAGGCGTCGGATTGCTTGGCCGTGTTCCCTTTGATTCGTCATTGGGTGCACACAGAGCTGCGTCCCAGCGGCATGGCGAACGCTGCGGCGCGGTCGTTCGAGGCGATGGCGAAGATGCTCGAATTGTACATGCAGGGCAAAAGGACATGCGGCCGCAGCTGAAACGCAAACGCTGGCCTGCGCGTTCGAGGATGCACCGCGTCGGCCCGCGCGCATCCTCGAGCGCTTAGGTGGCAGGCGGTTCGGCTACGTCCTGAGGATCGGCGCCGTGCCGAATTTGATAGCTGTCTGGACCAAGGCCGTTTCGATTTCCTTGGCGCTGCACAAAGCCGCGCACGGGCCAGCCCTGATCAAGCCGAAGCATCATTATTTGTGGCACGTCCCCGACCAGCCTGCGGAGGACGGCATCTGGTTGGACGCCTTCGTACTCGAGCGGAAGCACAACCTGCTTCGGTCCAGGTCGCAGGAGATCGACAACCCTGAGAATTTCGAGCGGTCGGCCTTGACGGCGATGCTCGCCTGCTTCCTGGAGGAAGCGAAGGAGGCGCCGCGCTCCCGCGCCAAAGCGTGGCGCACGCCAGAGCTGGACAGTACGTTCGGGCACTCGGGGCGCAACCTTGCATGCCCTTTGTGGAGGAAGATGGGCTGGGAGAGGGGAAGGCGGTTTGCCGCCGAGGCGGCTCGCCGCCAGGAGGAGGAGGAGGAGGAGGAGGAGGAGGAGGAGGAGGAGGAGGAACCCCTCCGCAGGGCTGAAACGTGGACCAGCAGAGAGGCGTCGATCGACGGCCAGATGTACGGCAGCCAGGACAGACGGCGCAACCAACCTTGGTATTTAGGGGTGCACATGCGTGTGCCCCCCCAAAAATCGAGGCGTTGCTGCCCTCAGGATTTTCTCCTGGGCGACGGCGAGGCGTACATCGTGCATTGCTGCGCGCAGGCTGGCGCCGCCAGCTACCTGCTGGTGGAGACCCTGGAATGGGTGCGCGCGCCATGCCCAGGCGCGTCCCTGTGGCGGCCGCGCGGCGACGTCGCCGTGATGCCCGCCGAGCTGATCCCGCCAGCCTGGGCGGCTTATCGGCGACTACAGGACGATGGCTATGTGCTCGCCATCACGTGAAAAAGGAAAAAACGAGCGCATGCGAGAGCGGATATGCCGCTGGCGGATGCGCCGCCCTTCGATAGAGAGGTGCAGGAGGGAGGGGCGGATATGCCGCCGAAGAAGGAAGGCGGGCTCGGGGAGGGAAGGCGGCAGGAGGGAGCGGGGGCGGGCTGGCCGCCGACAACGAGGAGAGGAGAGGGGAGGCGGTGATGGCCGCCGAGGGGAGGCAGTTTGAAGAATAGTTGATCCCCCCCCCTCTCCCTCTCCCCCCTTCCCCTCCGCGCCCCGCAGGCGTCCTGAGGGCGGCTCGGCGCGTCGACCTGCGGCGCCCTGTCCTGAAAAACTGTTGTGTTGTAGTTGTTAAAACGTTTTTTGTGGTTTTTTCCCGAAACATAGCAATATCAAGAACAAACATGCAAAACATAGAAAGTTATGCAAATTTCGGGTTAACCGAATCGGACAGCCCACATCGACTTAGCTGACTTAGCTACTAAGTTGGGTATGTTGAGGTGTATGTATCGATATATCTTGGCAGTGGTACCCGATAGCTCAGTTGATAAGATGGATGGTTCTGTGAGTAGTATGTATGGTATGTTGTTGAATATACTTATCTAACAAAACGTTAAGTAGATGAATGCGAAGTTCGATATTTTATATATGTTGAATATGTGAGGTCAACTAGCATGAACCTACATACATCTTCGTTGAAACGATTTCATCGGATATACAACGCTCTTACCGCACTTACACCCACCCGACGATCAAAGCAGCGGATCCGTCCGGAAACGGTGCCGGAGGCCGCTCTGGGCTCCTCTGGGCATCCCCCCCGGGGCCCGTTTTGTCAATGTGAGGATGTCTCAGGCGAGGGCGCCGGTTTGGGATTCGTCACCGGATCCAGCGGATCCAGCGGATCCGTCCGGAAACGGTGCCGGAGGCCGCTCTGGGCTC